TTGAATTGCTTCAAGTGTCGAGCCTCGAGACAGACGTCCGTTTCGTTGAGTGGATCCAGCGGGATGGCAGGCAGTAAGCACAGCAAATCAAGATCATCTGCTATTCGGGAAAGTTAGTGCAGCATAGGTTCCAAGAAGAACAATTCTCCGTTTCGATCGACACAAAGGAGTCGTAAACTTCATTTATTTAAAGAACCGTTATGACAGAACCTCAGCATTTCCTAGATCGGTTGGGAATTACTATCATATCCAACCTGCAGTTCTGACTTAATGTTAAGTGATTTCCACTTGTTTGCAGCTCTAATGAAGAGTTATGATAAAGTGAAGCAGGTAGCTCTAAACCGTGCTAAAGCCTTCCAAGCATCAATGAGATGCTGGAATAAGGGTAATTTTAAAATATAGAGCAGTTTTCACTTCCTAAAGTTCGCGAATTTTTTTCTTTCGTGAATTCCGGATTGGATGAACGCCACTCGTAATGTTTTGAGTATGGAAACGCACAACCAGTCGAGCCACTCTTAGGTCTAGTCTCATACTGAAAAGTATTCTTCATTTGCAAATGGATTCAGTTTGGTCGCGCAGCAAAAATGGTGGGAGTGCTCTTGGGAAGCAAAAAACAGGGTAGGAAGTTTCCCATGAATAATGGGTGTCACATACGCACTTGAGTATCGATTCGTAAACATAGGCCCTCACATGATTGGTTGAGAATGACCTTGCCTTACTTTCCCTATTTCATTGATTTTCCTTTCCGGCTTTTCCAGCCACTGTAACGCAGGATGCTTTTAGTAAATAGGTTCCATGCTACGCGTGCGCGTTCTGTTCCGTTCATCGGCTAAGGGCCATAACGTTCTGGCGACGAGGTTAAACTACTGCGATGTTGCGCCTTCCTACACTACTTTGGAATATTCCTTCTGATAAACCAACACCAGCCTTCTGGAACCGCACCTTTTTGGATTATTTGGAGCTACTACCCGTCTTGCAACCAAACACGGTACTCTCAGTCACAAAATTAAATTGTTGAGACAATTTCTGGGGGATGAAGGTCAAAGACATTTTGATGCCCTACACGCCGGTGACGAGACAGTCAACAGCGCGCTAGAAGTCCTCAGCGGGTTATGCGGCTCACGACTGAACACACAGTGCGCAGTATTCTTTCTCGACCTTGCATCAAAACCCTGAAGAAAGTGTCACTGATTTCATTGCGCGGATTCAGCAAGCCCTACCAGTGTCGGTATAGTGAAATCCCAGTTACGAAGTTCGAAGAGGCGATGGCTTTACAGTGCTTGATATCCGGTATCCGTAACGAACAGGCTCGTGAGAGGTTGTTGTCGGAAGATGACACGACGATGAGCTGGGGAAAAACCTACAATTTTCGACAGCTGGAATGTCCATGAACAGTTAGCAGCTTTTTCCTCGCAATTTCATGCAAACACAATCCAGGCAGTCAACCGAAAACATGTTACCTCGAGACGGTCCGAACTGCCTTTTACCTGTTACCGATGTGCCAAGTCAGCATTTATCAGCCGAGGAATGTAGTCATAAACAGGATATCTTCCGCCAATGTGGAAAATTAGAGCACTCGGTCCGAGTTTGCCGATCTAAAGCTTGTACAGCCGCAACATCCCGTTTTCCCAGGAAGCCCGTGAAGGTCGTCCAGTCTTCAGACGAGGAAGACCAGCTAAAGACGATTTGGAGCGCAATGTCGAGCAACTGAAGCAATCAGGCACCCTACACTGTACAATTGGAAATAGAAGGCCAGTTGGTTAAAGTGGAAATTGATAACGGTGCCTCAGTTACCATAATCAGTGCTGCCTCAGTTAAAAGAGTACCCAAGTTATCCCCCTGTGAATCAGATTTGCGTATGTACACTGGGCAGCCGATACCAGTCTTGGGAAAATGCACTGTTCATGTAAATTACCATGGAAAGAAGCGAACCTTACAGGCATATTTTGTGGCGAATGATTGTCCGAACTTACTCGGGCGTCACTGGATTAAATGCCTTCCGGCCACGCTAGAGACAATGAAGTTCATGTCCATTAACCAGCGCTTGGAGGATGTGCTCAACAAATATTCTGACGTTTTTGATAAGAAAGTAGGAAAATTGTACGGATATCAGGCTGACATCATATTACGGCCGGGAGCTCAACCCCGCTTTTTCAGGGCGCGTACCCTACCTTATTCCCTGAGATCAAGGGTGGAATACGAGATAGAGAGATTGCGATCAGCAGGAACAATCGAGCCAGTACAATACATTGAGTGGGGCGCTCCAATAGTTCCAGTCCTGAAGCCGGATGGTTCTGTGCGTATTTGTGGTGACTATAAACCAAGTGTTAATCGTTGTTTAACTCTGGATAAGTATCTCTTACCTCGGATAGAGGATCTGTATGCTACGCTGGCAGGCGGACAAAAGTTTAGACAGATCGACCTCAGTCACGCGTATTTACAAATTGAGTTAGACGTGACCTTTCGTTTATGCACTACAATAAATACATACATGAGTCTATTCCAGTATAAACGTCTGCTCTTCGGAATCAGTTCGGTCCCAGCGATATTCCCAAAGATCAATGACAACCTGATCAAAGATTTTCCTTTCACTTGCGCCTATTTTGACGATATTTTAATTACAGGATGTACAAAGGCTGAACATTTACTAACGCTATCCACTGTGTTCGGACGTCTACAACAGAGTGGACTCAAATTGAAGAAGTCCAAGAGTATGTCTTTCTCAGATTCTGTTCGTTACCTTGATTGCCGTCTCGATAAAACGGATTACACGTGTTAGAAGACAAAGTAAAGCCCCTCCTTGTTGCACATGAACCCAAGTATGAATCTGAACTCCTATCGTTTTTAGGGATGTTGTCGCACTATTGTCGCTTCATGCCTAACGCCAAAACAGTATTTGCACCCTAGTACGAACTGTTGCACTGTTGGACTTGGGGTCCGGATCAAAGAAACGCCTTCATAGATGCAAAAAGGATGCTCAGCGCCTCCCCATATCTCGTGCATTTTGATCCCAGCCGGCCTCTAGTGCTGCAGTGTGACACTTCCCCACGCGGAATAGGCGCAGTCCTTTGCCACCTTAGAGATGACGGTTCTCTTCGTGCAATCGCTTTTGCTTCTGCTACCCTGCAATCCGCTGAAAGGAATTACTCCCAACTCGACAGAGATGCCTTAGCGATTATTTTCGGAGTCAAGCATTTTCACCAGTGCGTCTGAGGAAGAGTTTGATATCCACATCGACCATTAACCACTTTTTCACTTCTGTGAGGAGAAAGAAATCCAGCAGATGTCTTCGCCTCGAATACAAAGGTGGGTACTACTTTTGAGCGGCTATAACTACAAACTTCAGTATGTAAACGGACCAAGTAATACCATTGCCGATGCACTTAGTCGCCTCCTGCAGCAGCATGGCACAAAAACCAGTAGTGAACCCATGGAGTTTATCAATTTGATGCAACACCTTGAAAAGACATCCATCCGGAGTGATGTTGTGCGGCGCCTGACGGACCGGGACCTTGTGTTGTCCATGGTGAAACAGTTCTTGATGACCGGATGGCCTACAAGCACGTCAGACGAACTGAAACCATTCTCCTGTCGGAGTAATGAACTGAGTCTACACGACGGCTGTATATTTTGAGGCTCGCGCCTATTTCCAGCAGAAGAACTACGGCCCCAGTTGCCGATAGAGCTGCATGACGCACACCCCGGCGTGAACAGGATGAAGGCATTGGCAAGTGGTTACTGTTCGTGGCCGAACATTGACCAGGATATAGGGCGGCTGCTGAAAAACGGCGAACAATGTCAGAAATACCGAAGACAAAAATCTCCAGGACCGATCCGTCCATGGCGTTGGCCGGAGAGACCCTGGCAGCGAATATACGCGGACTACTTTGGTCTAATCAATGGGTTGATGTGCTTACTTATTATTGATGCCCATTCTAAATGGATAGAAATACATCCAGTTGCACATGCGACTTCCGCAGCAACAGTTGCAAAAATGCGCTCAATGTTCGCCATTTACGTTATCCCAGAGACGGTATGCACCGACAACAGAACCCTATTTACCAGTGAAGAGTTTCAACAGTTCCTGAGTATCAACGGAATACAACACATTAAGTTTGCGCCGTACCATCCGTCGTCGAATGGAATGACAGAACGTGCAGCCCAGACTGGTACGCAATATATCCTCAAACAGGCTCATGAAACTACAAACTAAGTTGGATCATCTCCTGTTCTCTTACCGCACCGACTGAGTCGGCAGGGAAGTCACACGCGAAACTAAGGTTTGGTCGGCCACTCAGAAGGAGATTGCACCTACTTTTTCCGAACGCTCGAAGGAGAATGAGGAAAAAGCAGAAGAAAATGTGTGTGGATGAAAAGATGCCAATGGAAAGGTGTCTTAATGATTTTGACCTGGTATACACAAGACTGGCTCACGAAACACGCTGGCAACCTGCTACACTCATGTCCTCAAGGAGTAACAAAGCGAAGCTAAAGCTGGAGGACGGCCGTGTGGTGCGTCGTCATTTTGACCACATCCGGCCACGCTTGAACGAACTACAAAAATCGACTGCTACTGAAGCAAAATGGACGGGGAATCTGTCTCACAAAACCAGGAACGGCAAACGGATATGGTACAACCAGAATTAAGACGCTCAAAACGCACGCCTAAACCAATGGATCGGTAGTAACCCGGAGTCTGTAGTCTTGATCAGGGAAGAGAGGGGTGTCACGTACGCACTTGAGTATCGATTCGTAAACACAGGCCCTCACATGACTGATTGAGAATGATCTTTCGTTGGTTTTCCTTTCCGGGTTTTCTAGCCACTGTAACGAAGATGCTTTTGGTAAACCGGTTCCATACTACGCGTGCGCGTTCTGTTCCGTTCATCGGCTAAGGGCCATACTTAACAATGGGACAATGTGATTGCATGCAAATTAAAAAGGGATATAAAGTGTATCCCGTGGAAAGTGAAAAATGTGTGCGCATTCGGTGAACTCACTCGGCGAGGTGTCTCGTTGGAGAAATAAGAATAGGCTTTGTAGGAAAGATGACATTTTTCACCCAGACTGTGATTTATGATGTCCATTTCGCCGCTGTTATCGATCCATAAACGGCCAACGATGATGTTATGCACAGTCATGGGAATTTTCTTCCAAGTGTAGTGGTATCCTGTGTTGCGGAACACCAAATGGCACGTGCCGATTGGATTGATTTGCAGATATTTGCCACGAAATTTTGTGCTCATGGAAAAATCGAACCAGCAATACCAAGCATTGTTTTCACAATAGAGTGCGCATTTTGGAGGATGATGGCTAACCTGAGCAACAACAAGCAGAGTAATGAGCACGTCACTGACGCAAAAGGCTGAGATGATCATATGACAGGAAAAAAGAACTTTCAACTGTTGACATGTCAAGTGTGCTGGGATCCGGTGTGAAGCAAATTAACACAATATTTATGGATTGGGACAGAAACAGATGAATGATATCAGAGGCGATGGAGCGAGATTTCTTTCGTGTTGTGAAAACGATGATGTGGAGAAAAACGGTTCGAAAACGCGCGACCAGACAAGAGAACGATACATCGTACCGGATCAAAACAAGTGCCTAGTATAACCGTGAAATTAGCCAGTGAAACAAGGGGTTGTAGATGCAAGCGGAACAGTATGTACATCGTTTTTGATCGGGTTAGAAGAAGCGGAACGTTTTAGTGCACTTCAGGTGCAGAACTGTCAGAGACATGTGCTGTTAGTAATGCGATATAGATGGGAGATTCACCGTTAACATGACCTCGCATAATAACAATAATGACAACGCGGGACGTTCAAATTTGGCCGTAGTCTATAATTCCTATTAACAGATTAACTAACACACACGCTTTTCAGCATTGTATCGAAACCCATTTGTTTTAACTTTTCAATATTGTGTCCTGTAAGCAGGGTCGTAATCGTTTACACTCGCGATGCTTTGAAATTTTTGCGTGCTTTCATGCAAATGAATTCGGCACTTCATCCTGGTCAATCGATACGAAACAAAATAAAAATAATCAAAAAGAGGCAAAGGAATTCTAGGCAAAAACGCAGAGCAGGACGGCGGGTTGCACTTCTGAAGAAATATATCGGAAATATGAACCTATCCGCTGCCTTGCGGGTCAGGTCTTTAAGACCAAAGACTCGGGGTGGGCCCCTTAAGTCAAGCCTTTTCCTCGGCCTGGGCAACCGGGAAGCTTTCTGCCCACACAACACATAAGACTTAGCATCGCTTAATCTGACCTTCTTCCCTTTTGTTATTGTTCCTCATGTGTTGTGGCACTCTGCCAAATGTCTATTGGGCAAGTGTTGAATACATGCATACACACCAGTTTTACTCAGTGCTAATATTCGATCACTGGTTGGAAAAGTATAAGTCCTTATAAGTGTTTGAAATGTGGTGAATATTCTCGCTTGGGCACCATTATGTTACAGAAAACTTGGCTTCACGCTGATATGGAAGATGCAGATGTGGAACTCGACGAATTTCGCTCTTGTTTACCACCAGTGTGCACAGAGGAACCGCGGTGGTCGCGTCATCATTTACACTAATCATTCATGGCGCTCGTCCATTAAAAGTAATTTCTAATACAGCTCGCAACGCATCAGCTGTTTAATCGTGAAATCCAAACTAAGATTACTGAACGGTTATCGTTCGATATTACTGGCTAATGTTTAAATCCCACTCAGCTGCCCAAGCTACGAAGTTAAGGAATTTTACGGCGAGTTTATAGCTGCAATTTTCCAATACCTGAAACTCTCCTTATGTACAGTTGCTGGCGATCTTAGCAGATCAGACATCAGCATCATTGTGAGCGTTGGGCTAAAGAACAGTGCAATCTCTAACCAGATTAGATGCAACAGTTGACATGGTATTTATTAACAACCTGAAAGTGTTTTCTGTTTGTAATCGGGTGCAGTTTGGGAGCTCTGATCGTGCCACTGTAAAGTTATCTCCCGTTATCTATAGCGAGATGAACCATAAAGGTCCCACTCGTTACAAAGATCGAAAGTTCAGGCGGAGACAACGCTTTCCACAGAACATTTAGCGACTGCGTGAAACCATTGTCACCACAGATTTTAGTTTATTTATGATGCGGTCGTATCAAAGTAATGTGACCAGTTAACTAGTTCGTTAAACTTTTGTTTCGACACCTGTTGTCCAACTGATACAATTTTTATCCACACCGACAGATTCTCGTCTCAACATTTCAAACAACTGCGTAGGCTAAAAGAAAAGGCTGTTACACGCAAAGACGTTATATCAGTAAAGTCTCTATCGATTGATATAAAAATCGAATTGCATCGTCTCAACCACAGCTACATTCAAGCCATACTTGGAAACAATAACTATCGTGAAATATGGAAAATGCTGAAACAGTTAAGCGGAGTAACTCTTGTGATCCCGTATTCAACTCCGGATGAGAAAAAACTAAATGGTTTAATCAGGATAGCATTTCATGCTTTGATATATCCTCTGCTGTTACAGCTAGCCTCAGATAAACCTTTTTCTTTGATGTCTAGAAGTACATAGGAAATTATTCGAGTTGCAAGTGAATAAATCATCTGATCCGTATGAGTTGTGTCCTATAGTTCTCAAGGAGCGTGCAGATTATCTGGCACAGCCTCTCGCCGACTTGTACATGCGCTGTACAGCAGCACAAGATAGCTGACAGTTGGCGAAGCGCAGATATCACGTCAGTGCCAAAGAAAGGAACCTGCAAATATCAGCCGAGCGCATGCACTTCGGTTGCTCAGAAGATCTATGAGATGCTGATGCTTAAAAGGATCTCAGCCCAGATCCATTTGGATGTCTCTCATCAGTTTACAAATATCGTAGCTCAAGGTTCACATCGGATATAGTGCCATGTCTGGTACATACTATGCTCAAGTCACTGGATGATAAAAACAAATCGAACCGCATCTGCTTCTTTTCGGATTGTAATAACGCTTTCGGTTGTGTGAACCGTGCACTACAGTTGTTCAGGGATCAGAGTTCTGTTGAACGATTATCTCACCAAGTAACGGGAAAAAAGTTCATCACTCACCACGAATCCTGGTGTTCTTCAGAGAGCCATTTTGTCCCCATCCCCACTTTCCACTTAGGTTACCTCAATCTCTGTCCCTGAGGAAACAACGCACAAGGCGAAAGAAGCCGAGGCACATCGTTTATGTGGATCAGCAACAAAATGGACCCCAGTACAGTTCCTTAGGGCACTCTACTACTCGAGGGATACCAGTCGATCAGAAGGTTGTCGACCTGGACCCTCCACTTTCGACCAACAAGGAAATTCCTGATCCATCGATGCAGCGAGTCGCCAACACCGCACACCCTCAATCTATCGAGGAGCGCTTCATGATTCACCTTATCAAAAGCCTTACAGAAGAGGACGACGACCGACTTGCCTCGGTTCAGCGCTTGCAACCATTCGTGCCTGGTTAACAGAAAGTTGGTGATGTATGCGTGATCTTTCACGAAACCCTGCAGTGTAGGCATCAAGAGGCCTTTCGACTCGAGAAGCTGCAGAAAAGCTTTCACGATCTTCTCAGGCATCTTTGCCAAATCAGCGGTCAGGCAGATCGGCCGGTAGTTATCCACTATGCACGGGTCACCACCTTTCGGTATTGACTTTAGGACTGAGCATTGCCAGTCGCCTGGTAATGAACCAGTGGATACTGACTTGTTGAATAGCTCAGTTACAAAAGCCCAGATGATGGCCGATAGTGATTTGAGAATCAGTGGGTGGATTTCATCTGGCCGGACAGGCTTCTTCCCATCAAGACTTGCCAGCAGCTTGTGTATATCTTCGATGCTGCAATCCAGGCTGTCAAGTTCAGCGGTGGCGGTACCCGTCGAACTCGGTATACACACTTGGTCACTAGCAAATACGGAAGCGGTGCACTGCCAATGAGGACGCACGATCTGTGCTCAAGATTAGGGGCTGTCCATCTTAGCCCTCCAACATATGCACATTGCCCACAGGCCTCTGCCGCCGCTTCACGTAGGCGAATATTCTCTTGGGAGCAGTTTTTGCTCCCGTTGGAACCTGCTCTTCAAAGTTTTGGCGGTTTCGTGATTTTGCAGAGATTTGCCTGTCTTTTGTACGTCTCGTAATCTTCGTCAGAGCCAGACTACACGAATTTGTTCCACAGTCTACGTCGCTGTGGAGCCAATTTGCTGTACTCCTTGTTGAACCAATGTGCTTTGACTGGCCCAAATTTCCGATACCTGAAGGGTACAAATCGGGCGCACAACAATTTTACTCTCTCTTTACTGAAATTTCAACAGGTTTTAACAGATGAATCCTTTGGTAACGAGCAGCATCTGACCCGCTGTTCGAGTGAGGCCATTAAAGTCCACCTTCCAATCGTTGAAGGCTGGCTCCAGCGGAGGAGAGTACGGCAGCCGCAGTTCCAAGATGGCTATGATCAATCGAGTGGTCACTCCCTCCCAGGGGCTCCAAGATCTGAACGTCATGCACACGTTATTCATAGCTAATAGAGTAATACCAAAGATTTTTAAAAGCACCACTTCGCCCGAGTCCAAGGACACTGTATTGGACAATACAACTGAAGTTATACCGGCATCACTCAATTAGACGTGGGGAATGGTCATTTTAATGAGACAAGCAATGTCAGTATTGAGACATGACCATACGAGTCCTAAGAACACAGTAATGGTAAGTCAAGCGAAAGTTCCATCATCTGTCTAAGATCTCGATATGGCTCTACCAGTTCGGCAGAGTGTATGATGGCTGAAAGATAATGAAATCAACAGAAGTGCCCGTTTCAAGATCGCAGCGGACAGAATAGCACAGGGAATCAATAGGAAATTCATACAACAGAACAACAGGGCAACTAATTAAAAATCAAATCGCCAGCTGTACGCCGTAACGGCGCTTCGCTGCCACGCGAACACCACCAGTCGCGCGTGGACTAAGTATACCGCGAGGACACTCGTCCCTACGCGGATTCGAACCGGTGACCTTATGGTTGCAAACGAGACGCGCATACCACTCGGCCACCGGCCGACAAAAATGGGTAAGTATGCAAAGCAGAGTGCACAGAATGTCCTCAGGTGTGATGTAAATACTATCAGATTATACCACTGAAACTGGTCCCGACGGCTTAAATCCTAGTTTAACAAACGACCAGACAGATTCGGTAGCAAAGTTTGTTGGTAGTCTGAAGCCCCTTCCAAAAATACGCAGAGACTCGAGGTATCGCGCATGTAACAGTAAAGCACACAATTCGGAAAAGTTTCTCGCTGGCTGATCAAGGAGAATGGTTGCCAGTGTGTGCCAAGATGAATTGGAATAAATCTAGCACGACATGGAACACTCAATCGAAGTAAACATAGCAACTAAGCGGCTGAACGAAACAAGCATAAAGGGAAATCTTTTGTTTGCTCAAATGTTGAGCGCAGAGCTCGTAACGTAGCCTAACAGGAGTTTTAAAGACGGGTGTGTCCTCGTGTGCACTTGTGTGAAACGACAATCAGACTCCATAGTGTTGATAACGGAAGAATGGAATCGTCCGGGGCACTAACGAACCCTACCAATGAGAAAACGGCTACTCTGTCAGCGACATTTGTTTCGCATCCATATCTACATTGAAATGAATAGTAAAATTAGGAAGCATGCATATTCGATCTAAAGGTAAGACGCAAGTCTCCCATTCATTCTCGTGAACTGCTGAGATTTCACTAACAGAGCTGTATCTCGGGGTGTGTGTTTTATAAAGTTATAAAATGTAGCCTGCTATTTTCGTCGAATAGACAAATGCCGAAGTATACAGAGCATTCGATGTAAAACGAGGTTTCATAGTGGACAAAGTCGGCTAGCGAAGTCGCTTGGGTGAGAATAGTGCAGCCAAATAAATACCTGCTCGGCGATAGACCGCCATCCTAAATCATCCGTACGATCACACTCGTATGTTTCACCGAGGAGCGGATTGAACGGCTTGTTCACTCTGACAGCAGTTGTTGCGTAGGATGACACCGTGAAAGCGGCCACGTATGCCATCTGCTCCAAAGAATCCTGACACAGGGCAGCGCGATCAAGACAGATGGAATACTCAAAATCTTCCGTCAAGCGTTGAAGCATGGACAACGGTTCGCTGAAATTCACCTGTGGGACAATTTGTAAATGGGAAATCAGATAAAACGTCTAGGATTGAAGGAACATAGGTTTCATTGGAAGACAAATGGAAATCAGTAACCAAACACGGTAAGATGGGGAAAAGTAAGAAGCTTGTTTACCTTAAATCATCTATCATAAACAGCGTTCATCTGATGGAAAATTAGCGAGCGGTACTTTGCTCACTGACGTTCGGGTGGGGTGGAACGCATGAGATCAAGAGCGAGCAAAGAAGGAAAAAACTTACGGGCATAGGGATTTTCGTCAGCTCCTTTCCGATGCAGTTCTTCATGATGCTCCACAAATTTAAACTGTAATTTGGTCTTGGTGGTATAGTTGTCCGACGTTTGAACACATTTTTGCGTACAGGGACGTAAATAGTCGTGGTTGCCGTCTCTGACGCGAGCACTCCTTTTGCTTCTTCCGAAGTGCGGTCATAAGCGGAGCCATGCGACGAAGCTAGAGTGGATGGTTGACTACAGTAACAGATGACGATAGGACTGATGTTAGAACTTTGAATAAAACAGACGATGTGAACACAGCTGGACTTTCTGACCAAATTGCTAATGGTAGTGCACGGTAACGCATCCCGGTAACCAAGCAGGGAATGATGTCGCGTGGACTTTTCACAGAGTGCAGTCAAGCGTTTGTTTTCACCTCGCATCAGGGATAATGTTTATTCGCACGCAACATATGTGCGACTGGGTTAAATCATCGCCCATTTATGATCATCCTTAGCATAAAGTAAAACGAGAAAAGGCAAAGTCGAGTGACATGTGACTGAAAAATAGGAACAGGCTTGGAAGTGGGGAAAGTTGTCCACAAACTTTCAAAAGTGAAATGGCTATATTGATAGAGAGATGCGAAAATCAGAAAACAGATTGTGTAATGACGTCGTTATTTCGTGCATTCTTACCAATCACAAAAACATCCAACAATGATATGTAAATGATCACTAGTAGATATATCGCAGTGTTCCTTTAGCGTGCGAATACGACAGCGTACGTCTCACCGAAGGAACGACGCGAACCTGAAGCCTGATAAAAGCCCCGGAGTGGTTATCCTAGACAAGCCAGTTTCCTTAGGTAAGGTGGAAACAGTTGTCTGACAGTACAAATTTCAAGCCGGATACTGCCTTTGACAATATCTGTTTTGTCGAAAAGCAGTTGTTGTGAATTGCAAATCCTAAGACTTCATGTATTCATCTCGGAGGACCAATACAAAGCGCTAAAACCTGTGGGTACCCATTCTCCACAAATGTACGGTTTGCCTAAGGCGCTTGAAACAGGAATGCCCATGCGACCAATTATCTCCATGGAGAATTCCCCGTACCACGGCATCGCCAAATGGCCGAACAACATGCTTAAACGTATCAAAAAATCCATAATAAATTATGCCTCATAAAAGACATCGAACTACTTCCTTTCTTGCAGCGTGTCAATCCAGCTGGAAAGCGAATGTGCTCCCTTGACGTTCAGTTTCTCTTCACTAACATCCCTTTGAACGAGAGTGTTGAATATCTATGGGAGCTTATCTCACACTATGACGTTCGACTTCGGCTCCCCACGGAATATAGAAGAACAAGCTTCTCTTATGCACGCAAAACATCCCACTTTACTTTCAAGAGAAATCATATTTGCAAATAGACGGCGTAGCGATGGGTAGCCCATTGGGCCCGTTGTCGGCAGACATATTCAGGGGTATAATTGAAGAAAAAGCAGACAACAGTAAAAGATCGGCGACCCTGTATGTGCGTTACCTTGATGATATACTGCTAATTATGGGTCCGAATGTGGACTTCAAGGATGGGACCAAGACGCTCAACCAATGGCACCCGCACTTTACAGTAACGTGATAATGAGCAATATAATTCTTTTCCGTATTTATATATACTGATTACACAGCGACCAGACGATTCCATTAAGTGAGTTTATACAGAACCAGCCTGGACTATCAGTATCTGCATTTTACGAGTTTCTCCTCTAGTCAATGCAAACGCTCTCTGGTCCGGACACTTTTCTATAGGGCGCAAAGGATCTGCACACCATAGAACCAGAAAACGGTTTACTTTACAATACGCCACAGTCCAACGGTTAACCGTTGCAGTTCATTAAGCGCTTCAGTGAAATAACCAAGCGGGATCGTGTGCCAACAGTCCCGAAGAGGTCGATCTTCATCGAATTACCTTTCAAAAATGACATTGTGACAAAGGTCACCGAGGAACGGATAAGAGCTTCACTTAATGCGACGGAACTGCGGCGACTCACTTATGTATTGGATTAAGAAATCGATGACGAGACAGTGTATGTCCCACTGTATATACACATTCATCAGTAGCTGTGGAGACATTGGGTGAACTAACCGAAGTCAAAACGTCAGAATCAATGAACACATTCCAAGTGGTTACGTAGCCGAATGCGGTCTGTGACGACGAAATCGGTTGAATCGGGATACCGGGCAGCCTCAACAATCACAAAGCACTTGCTTACCCCCAGGCATCGAGTCAATCTTAATAAGTTGTTCATTCGTTTTGCGCGATCGGCAGCCTCACATGCTTAGGCTAATGGAGGCCATTGTTATCGATCGCGAACGACTGCCGCTGTGCATTCAAAAGCAGCTGACTGTGGCATTAAGCCTACTTTGGTAACATAAATGCGTGGCTATTTACGAGCTTTTGATCTTGTTGGTTGTTCATATACATAGCATTAATGCATGCTTTTGTGATTGGTAATAATGCATGAAATGGCGACGTAATTTCATAATCTAGGTCTTCTGATTTTCCTGCCTGAAAATATAAAGGGAACTTGTTGTTTTAAATATTAGTATCGAGCAAATTTCACTGAGGTGGTATCAATGTTTTCACAACAGCAAAGTACTTAGTGATAACTCATGGATCTGTGCGGTTTCCCCAGTGACAACTACTACGACTCCGTCGTTTCACAACTAGGTCCAGTCACTTGGTGTCATCGACGTGCAATAATGATGTCTAATCCATGATACAAGGCTGGCAACCGTACGGCACTGTGCAACGTGCCTTTGATTAATCATCACACTGCACCTTCCTTAGGTGAAGGAAACTGGATAGTTTACGTGGCCTTTATCGAATTTTACGATGACGCTCACAGTAAATTAAACACCAAGGTCGATGTGATTACCTGTGTTTAGCCTATTCAGCATGGCGTATGGATGACCGGATCCAGCCGCACGAGATGTATACCGTGCATTACTGCACGGAAATTCCTTTCTAGAGAATGTAACCCTGAGAGTTTACCACAGTCCTTAGACTTAGTTAGAAAAACAGAGCGGACAAGATGCAATCTATCAGCAGAATGAACTCCAATGCGGGCATATGTAGACTAGTACAGAGTCTCGAGATTAGCAACAGAGGAATTTCATAAGTATGAATTATGCAGTAGGCTCGGTAAACCGCACAAAATATACACCTAAGGGTCGGGAAGGTGATTACAACAGGTGGCTTGCATGTGTAATGGTGTTCAGTCAATCAGGAAGTGTATATATCTTGTCAATGAAGAGAACAGTTCTGATTTCACCAAAAAATCCAACTCGAGATTGTGAAGTTTCGGCATACGATGCCTGCAAGTTCGTAGTTGATGATAAGTGTAATGCATCAGACAGCAGAACATCGCACTCCATGTTTGTGAAAAGATAACGGTACTGATGCGCACTAACCAGAAAACCATCTAGGCGAATGTTAGTACTGAAAAACTGAAAAGGTATCAGCGATTGAGTTGCCACGGTTTTTGATAAAGGTCGACAAGGGTCAACGATAGGCACGCTGTGCTCTTCAACACGAGCCACCAGCAATACGCCGATACGCAGTACCGAGGCTTCGCTGCTGCGCAGCCACCACCAGTCGCACGTGGGCTAAGGATACTGCAAGGGCCGCCCGGTCCCCACGCAGGCTCGAACCTGTGCCGTCAGACTACAAGGCAGACTTGTGATGCTTAAGGCTACGGATCAGACCTCTTCAGCAGGAACAGTTCGTGTTTTGTCAAATCGGTGTCCAAGTGGCATAACAAACAATGGTAACGCGGTACAAAGGCTGAATCGTTCCGCTTAGTGTTCTACCTAGCAAGCTTGAGAGTGGATCATTTTATCCGCCTCTATTAAACATTGTTGCGTCCACAACATATCGGGAAGAAAGTGAGAAAGTGCTCGGCCGTCTGCGATGGCGCGGCTATATTCATTGTTAAAAGAAGCACACCCCAAAGAAGGAATCTGTAAATGGACCAAAATCCAACACCTTCCCAAAATTTCGGTAGGACAATCTCACTGGTCGATCAAAAGAATGTTCACGGACAATCTAGTACTATAAGAAAGTGAGATACCCCACGTCTTTCCCATGTCATAAACACAACAATAGATGAATTATATCGTGTCATAAACATATGCAACACTAGTGTTACCCTGGCGCACAGTACTCCTATTGAAGCGTGATAAATCGCACAAAATATGAAAACGCACGGATTTTAAAAAAACTACAACGATCTTGATGTGCATACAAGATATTTCAAATGATATGTGCCGCGAACAACAATCCGATTAAATAATCCAATTAACGAAATACTAATGTGTGCACGAAACTGATGAAAAGTGAAAACGGAAGCAGAAACTGCGGCTTTCCGGTGACTAGGCATGACCCGATATTAATATGCCACTGGCTAAAGTGAGTGATATCGCGGCCTATGCATAGTCTCGAGAATTTTGTGTGTCAGCATTAATTCGCCCAAACATCGTGGTCCATAGAGTATTTTGCCGGCATCAAGTACATTCGGTGCCTTAGATGCTCTGTTTCTACTTATGACCCTATGCAAGTGCCTTCACACTTCAGAGAAAGCAGCGAAACAGAAACGATCCGCCACACTATATTATCAGCTACCGACCCATAAACCATGCTCTCATAGGTTGAAGAGATATGAAATGAGCTATTAAAGAGGTGAGAGAATACAGACTGACTGGCGCTCGTGAAAGCCAGATTCGTGAGGAGCAAGCCGGGTTTCGTCGGGGTCGTGGCTGCATCGACCACATCTTCACCTTGCGTCAGTTGTTGGAGCACCGTCACACATATTGGCGGCCCACCGTAGTCGTGTTCCTCGACATCAAAGGTGCCTTCGATTCGGTTGATCGATGTGCCCTTTGGAATTGTCTACTCAGGAAAGGTGTGCCCGAGAAATATGTAAATATTATCCAAGCATTATATGCGCGTAGCACGGGCAGAGTGAGGGCTTACGGCAAGTTGTCGCCACACTTCAAAATCTCCAGCGGTGTGAGACAAGGATGCCCGCTGTCACCTTTCCTATCCAACTTCGCTATTGACGAAGTCATGGAGATTGCATTTACAGGACATGACTTGGAAGGTGTGGAGCTACTCCCAGGAGAACGACTTCTTGACTTAGAGTATGCAGACGACATTGCCCTCATCTGTGACAGCTCCCAGACGTGTCAAGCCGCGCTG